AAATATATATTCTAAAAGATTAATATTATTTGTAGTTGAGAAACAGGTGTAGAGTTTTGGTTAAGATCAGATAAGAGTATTACATCTTGATGCAGTATTTTCAAGTGATGTTATAGTAATTGCTTAATGTTAATTATTCTTGTAGAAGCTTTCCAGTTTTTTCTCCAGGCTCTATATAAAATTTCTGTTGGAACAACAGAAATTGTCCAACCCTGTTGGACAATTCTGCAGTTTAATTAGTCACATCTAAATATTCTTCAAAGTCTATCCAGATTAGTAGATTAGTTTCCTCTAAGCTTTGAGGGAATCTATCTTACTTGTTTCCATGATTCATCCTCATGTTTCACAAGCCTGTGCACACATTTTTCATGGTGAATCACATTTTGTTAGCACATCAGTGAGAACAACCTAAACACCTCTCCCCAGAGCAAGAGGAAAAAATGAATATAAATCCTTGCCTTGGGGTGCTGATGGCATCCCTAAACAAAGTATAAAATATGCAAAAATATTTCCTGACCTTGAGCGAAGCTTAAATGACAGCTGCATATTTTAGATAAAAATAAATGCAGATAAAAATTTTTATTGTTACTGTTGGTCTTCTCTAAATAGCACTGTTTACCCCTGTAGAATTATTTATTATTGTAATTGTGATGAAGAAGAGTCTTTCTCATTCTCATCAGTCTGGCAGTGTCCTTTCTGGTTGTCTCTTCTGATATGTTTGACCTCATCTATAGTGAAGGATAAGATAAACAATAATGAAACTAGCCTTGTTTCAAGAAGTCTGATTTAACCGTATAAAGGGATCACATGATTACAGCCTACACTGAGGTTGAAGGCACACTCTTTAATCCAACCGTGAGAAAATAGTGAGAGGATTAATCCTTTGCCTTTCGCACCAGGGAGTTTTTTATGCTGTTAGCCACTTAGGGTGGGTAACGCCTGATGCTTTCAGAGTTTTGTTTTAAATGTATCTCTCAGTCTAGGTGTTTGCTCTGAATGAGCGAGTTTTGGGGGGCAAGATGGAAACCAACTTTTTGTTTTCAAAAGGCATTAACTGCTTTCTGTTTGCTCATACTCATTGCATTCTTCTTGACACTTATTATCTATTGGCACCAAGCTATTAACTGGCAGCAGTGCACCTTTGATATAGAAATAAAGATTTGGACATACTGGGCCAAGTGGATGGAGTTTTTCCATGTTTGAAAGCATATAATACTTATTTCATGTGAGGTACATGCACATGAATGTTAACCAGATTTCAAAGGATTCATGGGATCATGGGGAGGAGCTGCTGCAGCTGAGTCAAGTAATCTTTGCTCAGGAAACCTCAGTCTTCCTCTAGACTAATAATGTCCAAGTATGGGGGCACGTGACATATTTCTTTCTCCTTCTGATTAGGTGATGCTTGCCACTGCACTGAGTACATACTAGCCTGCCTCATGTGAGTTAAAAAATGGGAGATAACAATTGTTTCTGAGTGATACGACATTTCTTAGATATCATTAGGTTGCTAGAAGGACTAAGAAGGCTGGAGACACATGCAGGTGTTTTCTAGATTCATAAGAATTATAGTCTGGTAGCTTAATAGTTCAGTTATTGTGGAAGTGGAAATTCTGTGGTTCTTTTCCCTGTTAAATTGCCCCTTACTTCTTCTCACTCAAAAATGAAATAAAATGCGAAAATTGCCTAATGTCCAGCTGCCCTCTTATCAGAAGTGCTATAAATAGTGTTGCCAGGCATCCAACTTATGACAGTGCTACCTCATTCTTTTGGCTCCTTGTGTTTTCTGATAAACAATACACAAAGGGGAGATGCACATCTTTGACTTTATCTGACCAACTACCCTTTTGCTCTGCCACTTCCTGTACTTGCATTTCTGTAGATGAAGGGTGACATGCAAGACAGCTTGAAAGGTGGGGAAAAAAAACTCTTTTGTCAAAGCACTTGTTTCTGTATTTAGCTGTAAGACCATATAAATGTCTCACTGGGTGTTAAAGGAGAGAATTGGATCCCCACCACATTGTGAACCATTTCCTTTTTATTTCCTGGCATCTGCAACTATTGAATTGGGAATCTTCAAGTCCTCTTAAAAGCTGACTGCATATGAATATCTGTGTAATAACAGCATATGTAGTCACCCTGCTCAGTTAGATGACGTTTGGCAACCAGATGTGGCAATCACTCTGTGTGGTTGCTGGAAGTGCTTTGAATTCAGTGGGATTCAGGGAGCAGCAATTCATTTGTGCTCTGTCAGTTGAAAAAGCGGGACATGATTTTGCAAATCATGTCAACCTACTTGGTACATAAATGCCTTTAAAGCATTTTTAAACAGGAGTAAAATACTGTTTGTAAGCACTACTTTGACATTCTCATGGGTATGTGTTTGGTTTTTTTTGGTATGCATTATTGTTCAGGAAACTCAATGAAAAGAAGCCCATGCTTACTATTGCATACAAATTGAGGCTTATACATGAAGTATTAAAGCTCCTATTTAATTTTTTCTAGACTGATTGATGTTAAAATGATTGATCAAGTCAGGGACCAGTAAACATGAAATTGTTTGCATTCATAGTGCTTAATTTTCAAATTCATGAGCACCAACTATTAACTAGATAGCGATCTCATTTGTAGGCAACCTTTTCTTTTGGAAAGAAGTTGGAAAGCCTAAAACTTTCATTCATTCCTGAACCGACTAGTATACATTTTCTGTGAATCTAGTCAGATAACTTCTGTAATTGTTCCAGTTTTCTTTTCAAAGTGTTACAGTGGACATTAAGATGGCAATGATAAGCCAAACAAGCTCTTTTTGGTCGATTCCCACTTTGTCAGGCTAGAATTGAAAAGCGATAAGTCACCTTGAGCTGCTGAACCATATAGAATGCAGTTGTTGCCTAGAAAGCTCTGTATTATCTGGTCAGGTGGCATCTTAAAGACACACTGGGAGGTCATTTGGACCTAAGATATGGGTTTAGAACTACAATAACTGATTCAGTATGTTCTGATATAGGCATTATTTTTGCAGGTCATCCATGTGCATCCTTTCGTAACACACACTTTAGAAAACAATGTATTCTCACTAATGTAAATCTAGCATAACTTTTAAAAACTCTACTAAATAGTGTTTTGCCTAATTCAAAAGAACGTAAGGTTTCTAGCTATGATCTAGCTGCCAGGATTACATTTGTGGTGCAGTGTGCCTTTGGCACAAAGATGGGGAAACTTCAGGGGTTATGGGTTTCCTGTCAAAGAAGTATCTTCTGTAATTGCAGTATAACTTTCCGGCCTTTTAAATTGAGAATGACTTTTCATTTTTCAGATCACTGTAGAAAGACAGGTGTGTTTTTTTTTTTTTTTTTTTGTTTTTTTTTTTTTTTCCTCTTGCTCTGTGTTAAAATTGGATAGCAACAGACTTCATTTGAAGGGGAATCACTCTGCCTTTCTGTTCACATGAACTGCGTGACCCCCATTGGGAATGACACAACATTCATTCTGTTGCTGTTTCTTCCTGTATGATTCCCCTAGCATGTTATATTTTAGCTGAATGAAATGCTGCCTGCTTTGCCCATATTCCCTCTTGGGAAGATGAAGTTACCACAACGTTGCTGGTTAGGTAATATGTGTACTCTGGACTGCCTATTGTTCCTAGATGTGAGTCCTACCCCTTTCCTTCAGTTCTGTTTCACTGTATAATATGCTATTCTTAGTGTAGACCTACTAGTGTGCATCACAAACAGACCAGAGTGGGTGCATCCACTTTGTGCAGAGCTTTGCTCCAAGATGTGTATATTTCATTCTCTCAATGAAGTTGGACTGTGTAGTAACCCATTCTATGAAAACTGGTCAAAATAACTGAATTAAAAACGCTTTTTTTTTTTTTTTTTTTTAATTGACCAACTATGGGATATAAGCTGCATATCTGACATTTAGTTTTACCAATGCAGTAAGTTGAACTATTCTAGTTCCTTATGTTATCCCTGTCCCGTTGCTCTTAATGTGTTTAATATTTCTTTTCCTTGCTGGTTTCCTCTTTTGATGTCTTGAGCAGTGAGCCTAAACTTCGTGAGCAAAAAGTTCTGCTGTCCTCATTCTGTGTTTCTCTGATATAACTGTCGAAATACTTCAGTACTGTACTGAAATGAGCACATATTTTTTTTTTTTCTAATTTAGCACATACCATTCTTCACTTACCATTTGACATGAACGAACTATTCCAGTTCTATAATCTGAACAATTAATGTTTTAAGTAATTACCTGTCAACTGTGATGGGTGAGCAGCAAAACTGGATTAATATGGGTAGCACAAATGCAGTTTTTCCAGGAGCATTGCTTGCAAGGACAACTGTGGGTATGTTTTTTGGAGAGAAATGGGTTCCTCTTTCTTTACTGGCACATAACTCAAGGCACAGTAAGCACCGTGTAAGTATAGCCAGTCTGCTCTGTGAAACAACATTAGAGCAATCGGCCAGGTGGTGAGTGGTATTGATAGCCTTTCTGCAGTATTATTATTACTAAATTTCTTTTTTGAGTTAATTCTTTATTTTTGAGACTGAAAGACTGAAAACAGCCTGGTGTTTGATACTTAAGCACTGGGAGTCCAGTGCGATTAACTCTGAAAAGAATCCCTTGCGACTAGTGTAAATCAAGGTTCTTAAGAGAGAAAAAATTATAAATGATTACTTCACCCTAGAGTTATTTCTGTCATCAACTCGTTTTGCTAATACTGCAGTGCCCTGTATTATAGCACCAGAGGGATTTCTATCTCTTGTGATATGTGTGTGACCTCTGGGGAGAAAGACACTGCTTGAGTAGGAATGTTCATGTCCCTGACTCCCTTTGAGCTGGAAGGGTGTACTTGTGAGGGTTGATTTCAGACTATAATGCACCTACCCAGTTTCCTAGTCTGTATTGCACCAGGTTGATTTTGGTGACTTTTCCAATTGGTCAGATATTGAACTAATTTGGAGTCTGTTCTTAATTGTCAAACCTATCACCATCTGCAGGCAAGGGACCTGAAACTCTTTATGCGGGGCAGAAGCTCAACGACAATGAGTGGCACACTGTTCGGGTAGTTCGACGTGGAAAGAGCCTCAAACTGATGGTGGATGATGATGTTGCTGAGGGTGAGTGCAATGTATAAGTAGTTTTGGTTGTTACTGTTGCATCTCTGTTCCCAGCCTCTTCTCTGCCTTTTCATCCATTTCCCCTGTCCTTGTGTTTCTCTCCTTCTTTTCCTGACACTTGTCACTTTCTGCATACTTAATAGTACTATGCTGAAAGCTATCGTTCAGTTCAGTGAGAAGAACTGTTCTCACCAAGTTCCAGAAGGTTCTGAGCCAATAATCATATCTGAGTTATGCGATTAGGAGACAAATGAGCTTGCACAAAGTCGAAAGCACGAAGGTGTTGAATGTCACATACTCTTGTGCCAGGCTCAGGTAGGCTTTGAGTACACCTCATTGCTGAGCAGCAAGTGTGGCAATTTCCTGTGCTGTGGAATGAAAGCTAAAGCCTTCTAAAACTTTCCTTTGAACAAACTTTTCCTGAATGGTAAAACCTGCATTTGATAGGTATGATGGAGAATGTGGACTTCTGTCTCTAGTGTTGTTTTTAAAATTTTTGTGCCCGTGGCTTAGAGCCTTCCAGAGGAAAGGGCAAACAGAACACTTCACTCTCAGCATTCTTCAAGAGATTAGGAAAGACCGTAAGTCACTGGGTTATTGCACACGGAATATGTCAGTCTTATTTTTTTTTTTTTTTCTTGCGTTCTCTGACAGATTTTTAAGCTTATGCTTTTTGTAGAAATGGAGTTGAAGAGGAGGAAGAAAAGATGTGTCCCAAGTTAGGAGATTTGCGCAAAAATGACCAAACTATTTTACAGTGATCTTTTTTTCATTGCAGAAAAAAAGGTCTTCATATGTGATATTTCTGGTCTATTTCTCCAGAGCTGGAAGAGACAAACGTTTTTTGTTTTTTGAATAATAATATAAAATTTATCAAAGCTGTGTACAACTGTAGAAACTGGCTTTTTAAGGAAAACACCAGGAGAGTGAAGACTGACAATAGGATCGCAAAGAACATTAAGGCTAGGTACAACATTGATAAGAGTATATTCATTTACTTGTAACCAATGCTGTTTTACCAAATGCTGGAATCCTCTCTACAAGTTTCTACTTAGAAAGCAATGAGGAAGAACAGCTAGTGTAGGATATATATTTCTGGAGTTGCCTATCTCTGCAAAATGTTTTTTATTACTGTGTAAGTATAATTAATTGTAAGTAATGTGGTAATGAGATTGTCTGGTAGGCCAGGAGCGGGATTTTGAAATAAGTCTAAAGATAGGGGCTTGCAGGAAAGTGACTTAATGTGAATTTTCCTTCTGAAGTAAATATATCCTGTGCTATAAGCTGATAGTTTGCAAGAGAGAATCAAAGAAGAATATGTATGAAAAAATTGTCGTGTAAGAATTGACAGAGACTTGATCAACACTAGCCTGGAGGAAAATGAAATATCATTCAAATATGGTCTTTCTGAACTAGTGAAACATGCAGGTAAATGCATCATCTTGTTTACTTTTGGATTTTAGAAGTTTCTCTGGATATGAGTTGTTTTTTTTCTTTTTTTTTCCAGCAAGTACCATGAGGTGGCACTCTCTGCTTTTGAAACTCAGTCCCCAGAAATGCCATCTGTTTTTCGTAGTCCATTTTTTCATGAAACTGTGTTTATAAATAATAATGATACAATCCTATACTAAAATAGGATCTGCATATGTACATGAATTACATAATTAAAGATGCATTGCTGCTAAAAATATCTATTAAAAGACGACCACCACAGTGAAGTCAAAAGTCAAAACCAGCATTAAGACTTTCTGTGCAATCTGCATTCCGCTTCCTGGGATATATGATATAGTTTTAGATGTGGTCACATAGATTTTTCCACTGGATTCATGCTCTCTTTAGGCATAGGTAAGAAATCTAAATTAGGCCCCCATTAAAAATAAGCAACCTAATTGATTGTTGCTTGTTTTGAACAATGCAGGCAAATTAAATTTTGTTCTTAATATAGAGCTGTTTTTTTCCCCCTTGTGTATGCCACTCACCGATATGTTTATGTGGAACTAAGAAGTTGTATCTAGATTCACTCCTTTGTTTTATGAAGTGAGTTGGATTTTTTTTTTCCCTTTTATAGGTTTCGAAGTCATCAGATTAAAGTTAGGTGTATTTGATACAATTTTTTGACATGATTTCTCAGTCATTTACGTGTATGACTATTCAGCAAGCCTGTAAATTGGATTCTGTTAGCTCATTTCTGCTACTAGGAGAACTGTATCTAGACAATTCATGATCACCTGTGAAAAATTTGCCGTGGACTTTCTGACTGACTTGCTTCCTCCAGGCAGCTTAAGGCAGAGTCATCATCCAGTTCCTCTGGACAGCATTTTTTTGCTTAATCACAAAACTCTTCTACAGTCCCCATCTCCCTTCTCACTGTAACTGACCACTGAATATCAGTGGTAAATGATGTATAAGTACAGCAGGCATATTCCTCTGCACAGCATCTTATTAGCACCCAAATTCTACAGCAGAGGCTGGAAATCTTTGTTTGCTACCACCTGAACTGACAAGCTGCTGAATGTGGTAGTAGTTAAAATACTCTGTGCAGACCAGAATGAAGCAAATGAGAGGAACTCTAGGACTGACAGCTGATGAGACCTGAAGATACCAGATTTTCACTCTATGGTCTTTTATGAAAATATGCCTCTGTCCTTTAATATCATGCTCTTTTCAGTCTTTCGCTGAACTTCTCCTGACTATCTGTACTGCCATTGCTGTCCTATTTTTCTTAAGCCAGTCTCATTTTTCCCGCTTCTTACCTCTTCTAAAAGTCTGAGTTTATCTCTTCCAACCTCATTCACTCCATTTTTAATTCCCCCCTGTATGTGTTTCCTATCCCAGTGTATTCCAGCTTTCAAAGGCCTAGCTTTGTATCCCCTACTCTCACAAATTATTCTTTGCATTTAATTAAGAGTAGAAGAATCTCCCTGCTCTTGGTACCTGACATCTCTACATTTTTAGTTTACCAACCTACTGAAGTTAAAAAACAACAACAACAGCAACAAAAAAACAAATGATTTTTTTTTTCCAAAAAAGAAATAAAATTTCAAAACCAAGAGAATTTTATAACTTTTCTTTTGGTAAATGGTGAAACTAAAGAAAGTCTTAACAGTGGGTAAGAGATAGTTTGTCTAAATAACCTTACCGTACCCAGACTTTTTCAGTGTCTATGACCTGACATTTTGTCAGAATAAAATATTTCCTATAAAAGACTGTTTCAGAATTTTAAAACATTTGTATTTGTACTACAGATTGAATTTCTGAATAGTCAGGAGTACGTGACTGCTTTCATTTACTTGTAAATTTGTCCAATCTATGTGCTTGCGTTGCTGATTTTCATGTCCAAGGTCTTTGTATAACTGTCTCTAAATTTAGATCCTCTGCTGAAATTGGGAATAAGCAAAAAGAAAGAGGAAAGTTACATTTTTATATTTGTATTTGGAGTAAATACTTGAGAACGCTTTCTTCTAATAACTTCCTTTTTACTGTCTTTGTTAAACTGTGACCAGGTTTTTCAAAGTGTGAGTTGAAGAATTTCACTTAGTGTTTAGTCATGAAAGGTGAGTTGGATATTCAGTATTGAAGAAGGCCTAAGCAAGTTAGAGACTGTCAGCTCACCTAATTTGACTCATGTTGTATAAAAAATTAGTTCAGACAACAGGAAAAAAAACCACAACAATATGTTACAAATAGAAGTGATGAAAGATTTTGTTTCTTAATCTGGGAGTTAGGTGAGAAATGAAAGGTGATTTCAGGTGGCAGTACTAAGGATAAGGAAGCTTCTAAGTTCAGTGGATCTGTCTCGGCCAAATTAAAAGGGGAGTTTTTTCTTGAAATTGAGGTATAGTGCACGGTGAGGCTTACAGATCTAATCTCAGTATCTCAGGTGTAACTTCTGCAGTGGTTAGTCAAGAGCTGTGTATGTGTGCTAATTGACCAACAGATGCAATCCAGCACAATATTATTGATAAATTCTTCTTATCTGTATTCCACTCTAAATAATTATCATGTTTTTTTCATAAAACTAGTGCATTTTTGAGCCTTCTATTATTTTAAACCTGGTAGAATTTAACCAGTGTGTTAAAACATTTCTGCAGTAGGAGAACCAACAGAGCTGACATGGGACTATACAGTAAAGAAGGGACTTGTTTTTAAGAACCTCACTGATTAGTCTGTATTGAAAGAGACAGCATGGCAAAAAAAGAAAGGGGAAAAAAAAAAAAAAAAAAAAAAAAAGAGGAACTTTTAATAAGACATCCAAATATTGCCCAGAGGAACTGACTTCTCTGCCTTAGAGTTGCTATGAGAAGCTGCAGAAAGTGGCTTGAAGTCAGGTACTTCACATATAGTCTCTAATTGTATCTTTTTTTTTGTTGGGGGGGGGGGGAACTCATTTAGGATCTTGGCTGTTTTCTCTAGAAGTACTGAGTCTCAAATGGGAGCAGTTAAGTAGTTATACATTCCACTAAATTGGATGCCAAATGTTTATTGAAATCCAAACTCATATTTCTATGTTTACCTCTCTGTTCCTCAATGTTGTGTGTATAAAATTGAAAATGGTGTCTTATAATCTTGTTGGAGTTCTGTAAGTGGACTGAGGTTATCTGGCATGCTGTGCTGATCAGCATTAATGGGAGGCTGCCCCTGGCCAGCTGCTGGGAGCTCAGCTGTGCTCCCTGCATCTCCTCATAAGGAGAGAGAAAATAGGATGATAGCTCATGGTTCAGCATAGAGATGAGAAATTCAGCTGCCCCTTAATGCCTTGCACAAAACAGGCTCAACACAGGTAAAAATAATTTATTACCAAGTAAAAATTGAGGAGGGTGGTGAGAAACAAAGACAAAAATTTAAATGTTTTCCCCCTTCTTTTCTCAGACTCAGTTTCACTCCTTCCTTTGCCACCTCCTTTATCTCCTTGAGCAGAATAAGAAGATGTTGAATTGGAGATTGCAGTCCTCGCTGCAACTCTTTCTTCCGTGCAATTTTCTTCTGTGTGCCAGCATGGGTCCTTTTCACAGGCTACAGTTGCATCTGAACCGCTTGAGCATGGATTATCTCCACTGTCTGTTAGGAAAACCTGCCTCAGTGTGTGTCTTCCACAGATCACGATTCTTCCATGACACATCTGCCTGGTGTGGTGTGGGGTCACCTCTGGGCTATAGTGTGAATATGTGCTATGGAGTGGTCCTCCATGGGCTATGGGAGAATCTCTGCTCTGGTGCCTGCTGTGCCTCATCCCCCTCCTCCTTCCTGGACCTCAGTGTTTGCAGGGCATTCTTGCACTTTTCTTTCTTTCTTCCTCACTTGCATGCAGCATTTTCCTTTCTTAAGCATCTTTTCTTTGAGGTGCTACCAGCATAGCTGAGGGGTGCAGCTAAGTCCTGCGAGATGGGGGGGGAGGAGGGGGCTTTTTTGGAACTGACAGGCAGTGGCCATATGTGGGCCAATGTGGCTCTGGCCTCTCTTCACAGCAATCTCCCTGCAGACCTGGCCCTACTGCCAACAGCTGGTAAATCTGGATGAAAATCCAGAACAATAGTCTAGAAAATCTCATGGAAACAATAACTGTGTATCTGTAGCAGAGTTTGAATAATGGATGTATGTTGAGTATGGAGAAAATTAATAATGAATAAATGTTGATGAGGTAAATGGTTTCTATTGTGTGTTAAAGGGTCAAGGACTTGTGTGAAAGGATGCTTGATCAGAGGGCTGGAGCACCTTCCCTATGTGGACAGGCTGAAAGAATTGGGAAACTTCAGCCTGGAGAAGAGAGAGCTCTGTGGGGACCTCATAGCAACCTTTCAGTACATGAAGGAGGCCTAGTAGGAAAGCTGGGGAAGGACTTTGTATAAGGGCATGTGGTGAGAGAATGAGGAGAAATGACTTTAAACTGGAAGAAGGTAGATTAAGACTAGATGTTAGGAAGAAATCATTTATTTGTGAGGGTGATCAGACACTGGAAAAAGAGAGTTTGTAGATGCCCCCTTCCTGGAGCATTCAAAGCCAGGCTGGGTGGGGCTTTGAGCATGCTGGTTTAGTGGGGAGTGTCCCTGCCTATAGCAGGGTGGTTGGATATAGAAGGTCCTTTCCAATCCAGTCCAAACCATTCTATGATTCTGTGACTTCTGTGACCCTTCAGTCCTGTCTTAATCTCTTTGCTTGGGTTTTTGCAACCAGTATAGTCAAGCTACTTCACCAAGACTGTCACTTCTTTTTTTGTGTAGAATTAATTTAGTAATGCTGTAAGTCTGGAAATTGGGGGGGTGAGGGACTCCATATAACCTATTACTGATGCTTAGGCTTTCTGCCTGTTCTTCTTTCTGTTTTTCAGGCACAATGGTTGGTGATCACACCCGCTTGGAGTTCCATAACATTGAGACAGGGATCATGACGGAGAAACGTTACATTTCTGTCATCCCTTCTAGCTTTATTGGTCACCTTCAGAGCCTCATGTTCAATGGGATGCTCTACATTGACCTGTGCAAGAATGGTGATATTGACTACTGTGAGCTGAAGGCACGCTTTGGTCTCCGCAACATTATAGCTGACCCTGTGACATTCAAGACTAAGAGCAGCTACCTGAGTCTGGCCACCTTGCAGGCTTATACATCCATGCACCTCTTCTTTCAGTTCAAGACCACTTCAGCTGACGGTTTCATACTCTTTAACAGTGGTGATGGTAATGACTTCATTGCAGTTGAGCTAGTCAAGGGGTAAGTGAACATTCTGCTTTTTTCTACCAGGGTTTCATTTTATAGATAAAATTTTAAAATCTTGCACAAAAAAAAAAAAATCAATCTCATATTTCTCTGCTTTCTGAGGTGTATGACAAAGCAGTTGGATGTAAACATTATAACTTAAGTTTCCTGATTTTAACCATTGACTTTTTGACTGTGACTTAGGGAAAGACATATTTGCAGTACGTGAAAAACAAAGTTTGAAGTCCTTCAGATGTGATTGTGCCTACATTTTTTTCTAGTTAATCTTGCAGAAAATATGCCAAGGGCTCTGAGTTTGTTCCTTTTGTTTTTTAATCTCCTTCCCTTTAACTGACCTGTTGCATTTCTGCAACCTCCATGGAAAGAGAAAAGATCTTGTGGGCTACCAAATTTTTGTACCTTGTAGTGATGCTCAAGAAGAGTGAACTGACCTTGCTCTTGAGCCAGTGTATTCTTTTGTCGAGGCCAATAGCTTTAAAAAGGAAAAAAGTGCGTTTATCAGTTGAGTAAATGTTTGTTCTTGTATTCATCTAGACACTGTAAACATGAATTCCACAAACATACTTAACTAGTCTTGCTTATTTTAATATAACTGAGGTTCAGTCCATTTCATTTTTTAACTTTGTGTGGGTTTCTGTGAGTGGGACATTGACTAATAATAAATCAATAAAAAAAAAGTCATGAGCTCTGTTGAGGTTTGAATTTTTTTGTCGTTATTTTCTGAAAAGGATATTTATCCTCAGGTGGATTTCAGTGTTTGAACTGTATAAGCAATTCAGGGTAACAGTCTTATGACTTCAAACTTTGTTAGTTTATGTTTTTCCAAAAAGACTTGCCAACAGTTTTCCAGCTGTTTGAATAAGCATAGGATCTCATGTGAATTTTAGTGCAATATTTTGAGTGAGTTTCCCAATTAACTTTTCAAGAGGGTTACTCAAAACTCAGAATCTGGGGAATATGTGCCCTAAATAAGTATATCTAGCATTGCTCTCCATTACATCAATTGGTCTTACTAATTTTTAAAAATAATTATAAGCACGGTCAGAAGTTTTTTGTGGGTCTGAAAGAACTTGGTTAAAAAAAAAAAAAAAAAAAAGCCACAAACTTTATTATTAGAATCTGATTACTTCAACTGTAATCTCTGTAAATGTGAACCCTTACACAGGTGGAAAAGAAAGAACTCACCTTTCTGAATCAGGGGCTTCACTTTTGGCTAACTAGAACTTTCTAATCCAGAGACACGGTATTTCATGACTTGCATGTTATTTTATCATCTTATCAGTGCTGGAGTTGTTTAATTTTAACTGGTTCTTGTTATGTTTACAGCTATATACACTATGTGTTTGACCTTGGGAATGGACCCAATGTTATTAAAGGCAACAGTGACCGTCCTCTTAATGACAACCAGTGGCACAATGTTGTCATCACTAGAGACAACAGTAACACACACAGTCTGAAGGTGGACACTAAGATGGTCACTCAAGTTATCAATGGAGCCAAAAATCTGGATCTTAAAGGTAAATTCTAAAAGAATGACATTTCCCCACCCCTCTGTTTATTTCAGCAGGGCTTAACTGATAAGCTTAAAAACATTACGGATTTCAGAACTGAAAATCAGGAATTCTCAGATTTTTGGCTTTCAAGTCCATTTTTCTTTCTCTGTTTGTCAGCTTCCATACCAGAATAAATAGTTTATCGTGGATGATTTTTGATGTTTCTTTTTCCTTGGAAATTGATGGTCATTCTGAGGTTTTCCCCTAGATAAAGTGTAATTAAGTTTCTGTTTCTTAGGAACAGTGGAAATTTTAGAGAAGTACCACTGTGCACAGCATATATCTCGCATTGAGAGGTGATAGATGATAAAATAGGATGCACTGATGATTGGAGGGGAGGGTGGGATGTGTGCAAAATTTGTTAAAAACTGTTGGAAATGCAGGGTTGTAGTATATGGATTGCTAGTGTTGATGGCAAAGCGCGTGAGCAAAGATAGTGAGCAGATTATACCCAGTTTATCTGGATTAAGTTAGGGCTATACAAGGGAAATGCATTCATAATTACTTCAGTCTTACATGAAAATGACTTAAAATACAGAATTGTGTGAGGATTCCAAGTGAGAATAGTGAATGTTGCTTTAGGTTAGGTTAAGATTTGGTTTAGTTGGATGTAGATCAAAGGCACTAGTCAGACAGCATGTATGCATATTAAATAGCCAGAAATAACTTCTGGACCTTTACAATATCCTACTTTTCTTTTAACCTTTTCTAAGCAGATGTTCAGCTCACTAATTTTGGATGTGGGGGAAAGCCAATTTAAAAGTTACGTAACTTTCTTCTTGTATGTTTACCTTTTCTCCTGCAGGTGATCTCTACATTGCTGGTCTAGCTCAAGGCATGTACAGCAACCTCCCAAAGCTAGTGGCCTCACGTGATGGATTTCAGGGCTGCCTAGCATCTGTGGACTTGAATGGGCGTCTTCCTGATCTAATTAATGATGCTCTGCACCGCAGTGGGCAGATTGAACGTGGATGTGAAGGTATGACTGATTTCAGAGTGGTTCCCCTCTCACATACTCTGCTCTTCTTTGCTGCCTCCTGTGCATCTATTTGTCTACTTCATTGTCTATTTCAATAGTTTGCTTTCTTCAAGAAATCCTTTGCTGCAATCCATTTGTGTTTCCACACATTTGTGTTTCCATGGGGAGACTATAAGTCTCCTTATCAGCAACTTTTCTCTTGACTATTAGTACCTTATGAAGAGGTACCTTTCCAATAATGGAAATTATTGGAATTGAGTTGGACTACTCTTGTGCTGTTCTTAGAACTATTTATTAATGTTTTAATACTATGAAAGAAAACTTGAGCCTATAATTCACTAGTGCTTGAGAAAGCACTTTTT